CTGAAATCAATCTACTTTTTCATGATATTCTAATTTTATGACCAGCACCTGTATGTACTAAAATTGCAAATCAGTTACAATTCAGTAAGTGAGTTTTTCTTAAAATAAGTGCATTTTCTCTTGACTTAAGCAGGTAAGCTACACACTTTGCCAAAAGAGTAGGACAATTTACATTTCAAATAAGAAAAAAAATTGCAGTTTCTTATTTCAAGTGTATATTAATATGATTACCTTATTTTAAGGGTAAATATTCTCATTCCATTGGCAGGTCATCTTATTTTCCTAATCAAATTTAGGGTGAATAAACATATTTTAAGACTTTATTACTCATTTTCAGAACGTTTTTTGCAGTGTAACTTGAGTATTTATTTTCCTGAGGACTAGTTGTGCTTTCTACTCTTTTCTTTCTCCAAACTTGCTCCTTACTTCTATGCATGTCGACTTAACAGCAGCAACAAAAGCAAACCGGATAAATCAAAAAGAGAATCTCCCAGTTATATAAAAACTCTGATAATGAGCTGGATGAAGACAGGTTGCTGCAAACATTGGAGATGATGCCTGAGATGCAGGACACTCCCATCCATACCTCCTTTATGTTGATTATGTTTCAGGTTTAATCTGAATTCTAAAGCTATTTCAGCTGCAGACGCACAATCTATATTATCCATTTTATTTCAGGACAAAACTAGAGCAAGTCAGTGTTCTAATGTTCTTTTTATCAACAGAATTGTGCCACAGAGAAAACTCAATATATACCCTGCAGATTAACAACGTTTTTTATAATGTTGTTTACATTTACTGAAGTAAAATTAGTTCAATCTGTACGTTTACTATTGGTTATTAATAAACTATTGCTTTATTTTTAATATACAGAAGAGGTTTAGGGCCACTGGAAAAAAATACGAAAATGAAAGTTTCAGTGATGAAAATAAAAGTTGAAATTCAGAACTCTGAGTAAGAAAGTTAGAATTATGATTTGTTTTCTATCGTTAACTAAAATAAAATAAAAAATCAAGATAAAAATAAAAATAAAAGACCCAATTCTGCAGTGAAATATCTAAAATCGTGTTATGTTCATTGCTACAGTGGGCGGTGAGCCACAGGAAGCTTTCTGATTCCCAGGTGGGAGAAGACGCTCTACGGGAAGCTCAGAGCTCTGATTTCTGTGCAGCTCTGCAGATGCTGTAAACGCGTGTCAATGGCGTGACGTCATCAGACGTGATGTTGACACCGGAGAAGTAACCCGAGTGGGAAAAGTGCGATTGTGGAGCCAACGATGAACTGTCCCATAAATGAGAATCGTGCGGTTTTGAGTAAAGTTTATGTCGCTGCTTTTATGTGAGCGATTTCTGGCCACGCGTGTTTTTAGACCCACTACAAAAAAAAAAAAAAAAAAAAAAAAAAAAGCAAACAGCTCTGTTTGGACGCTGCTATCAGCCGAAGCCCAGCCTGCCGTATAGACGCCCACGGAGGAGAGACTCCAGGAGATAAACATGTGGAGTAAAATCTAAAGAAGAAGACCCAACATGCGATGGGGTAACGATCTGCTTCTGGTTGCCTGCTTGGTTGGAGGGCTGCTTGTTCTGAGCGGCAGCGGCTGAGAGGGGGAGAGGATTTGGAGGCCATTGTTATCAGCTCCAAGCGGTGAAGGCAGCGCTGGTGCCGGGGCGGAGGGTGGCAGTGGAGAGGGGCGGGGTGGTGGTGGTGGGGGGTGCGAGCAGGCAGCAGCAGGCTCCCGGTAAGCCTGTTCAGCTTGTGGGCCAGCTAGCCCGGATACAGCCTGCATGCGTCGCCCCGTGGGGGGAACGCGCGCCTTTATCTGACACCTCGGAACCCGTCGGCGCTCCCACCTGCCAAGGCGCGCAGGGTGTCCGGTCCGCTCGGCGCGCTGTGCCGCCGCCGCCGCTCCAGGAGGGGCTGTTGTGCTGTGGAGGCTGCGCTAGTCGGAGGAGAGGAGCCAGGCATGAAGCTAACGGAGGGTTAGTTCGTTCGATTATTTCCTTATCGGTTGTGATCAGATGTTGTGAGGACGCATGATGCGGCGCTGCTGGGTCCGATCCGGACTGGACCGGGACTGCCGGTGCTAAGGAAGGTAAGAGACATGAGTGGCAGTCCATCATGCATGAAGTGAGGCCAAACTGGGAATGTAGCGGTGGAATATAGGCTGCGTTTCCCGGCTGTTGGCTTTGTGAGCGGCGGGTGGCTGGCTCAGTGATTTATGGCCCATATGACTTGAATCTCGGTTCAAGAAGAGTTCACAATGCTTTTAGCTGCAGGACCTACCAGCAGTCCCCTTTTCTCTGGCTCGTCCATCTCTGTCCTCCTCTCTCCTGCCTTTTTTTCCTTCGCCTGTGCTGCTAACTCATTTATTTATGCAAACAACCGCCGACCATTTCTGTTATCCCTCCATGCTTTCTCCTCAGCACTATAATAATAATTATTATTTTCATCTTCATAATGTGAGCAGGTCATTGTTGTGTATTTGGATGTTTTCATATCTGCAGCATCTCTGATCATTTCTGCGTGATTTGAGCCTGAATCATGAACCACAGCGGCTCTGGTGAGGCCAGCTTGTTGGTGTTGTTGCTGCTCTTCCTTCCGTCTGTGTTTTTGTGTTAATGGGGTAAAGAAAAAGCCTCGTGGACTGTCCAAGTTAATGGATTCTTTTTCTGTCTCCCACTCTGCGTGGCTCTCCATGGCCGGCGCCATTTGTAATTTTATATCCCGGGATAAAACACAGACACTGGACACCAAGGCCGACTTCTACCTCCCTCTCTGCTGTTGTTGTTTGGGAGCCTGTAGGTCGATTATTCAGGGAGACGTCTGCTAAAGTTGGTGATTGTATTAAGCTGTAGTCCTACATGCCAAGGGCACAGGCATTACGTGTCGCGTCTAATGGCGAAACAGCGTTATGATTTAATAACATATTCCTCCCACACTGTTAGCCACGGCCTTTCTCTGCCTCCCCCCCTCTCTCTCTCTCTCCTAGGGACTATTCCTCAGAGTAAATAATTAGGATTCCAGCTTGTCTGTTTGAAAGATAAATAGCTGACATGTGTGACGTTCTGAGAACTGGAAAAGAAGGGGAAAAAAACAATGATGGAGCAGACATGAGGAAAAGTTAAAAGCGTGTTTTGTTTTTCTAGCGGGATTAGGAAGCATCCTAAAATAACGGATATGTTTACAAAACGCGCTTCTAGGATGCTTTATTGGTCATATTTCACTGATTGGCAAATTATGAGGACGTGAAACTAGATTTAAAATTTCACGCTATAATATATTATTTGGACAGAGACAAATACATGGGCTCCAAGAAGTTTAATATATAAATAGTAATGATATTGTTGATGTTATTATTATTTTATCATGACGAATGTCATATATAGACTCTTAGGATGCTGTTTATGAGTATTATAATCATCAACTCATCAAAAGTAGCCTATTATTACTAACTATATATTCAACTTCTTGGACGACATTTTATTGAATTTGAATTAAATAATCCGATTTTAAAAAGAAAAAGGGCCTTGATATGAGCTGTATATATATATATATATATATATATATATATATATATATATATATATATATATATATATAGATATATATATATATATATATATATATATATATATATATATATATATATATATATATATATATATATATATATAGATAGATAGATAGATAGATAGATAGATAGTCATTATATTATATTTTTGACGATAGTAGTTCTTTATCATCAAGCAGCACCATAAATATATGTTTTTTTTTTTTTAAAACAACATCAAATCCTTCTAATAAATAAAAGTGATGGACTGAGCTGAGCCTTTTTGCTTCAACCCATCAAGACGTTTCATCTCTGGGGAAGTAATGAATACCAGCTGCTCTATCGCGCCTGACAGGCAACTTCTGGACGCCGCGGCCTTTTCGGCCATGAGCGCATAGATCTATCTATCCATCTATCTATCTATCTATCTATCTATCTATCTATCTATCTATCTATCTATCTATCTATCTATCTATCTATCTATCTATCTATCTATCTATCTATCTATCTATCTATCTATCTATCTATCTATCTATCTATCTATCTATCTACCCTCTAAAAATAAAAAACATTTCTGTTTTTATGTATATTTAACCATAACACCAATAGAAAGGGATTTCTAATTGTTCCTTACCGTTACTGTCGAACCAACAAAATTAAGGGAAATTATTAAAATAAAAAATAAAAAATCATAAATGTTTATTCGCCCTACAGATTTCTGTTAACCCGTTTGGGGGACAAACCCTCGCCTGTTATCGAGCAGCAATAATCGCTCGCGCAGATAGAATCACGGCTCGTGACGCTGAGTGGTGACAGAGTCGCGCGGACAAAATCCGGTAAATCATCCATGGAGGCCAAAGCAGGCTGGGCTGAGCCGGCGGGGGTTGACAGAACCAGGCTGCCTTCATCAGTCATGATAGGCTGGATGTTCTGGCGGCGCGCGCTCTGCTCGGTCTGCAGGATGGAGCGAAAACACGGCGAAGAAACGGTTCACATCGAGGCCTTTTTCTTTTTCTTTTCTTCATAGTTTTTGAAGGACATAAATTATTTAGAAAGCACCAAAAAGGAATAAAGAAATATGAAAACAATAACATAATTACACCTTTTTTTAGTTTACCAAGGTTGAAAAGGTTAATGAAAAAAACAAACAAACAAAAAAAAGTTAAAATGTGATTTATCTCGTTGAGTTTATTTTTTATTTTTTATTAAACATCAGTGTGTGTGTGTGTGTGTGTGTGTGTAGAGAGTGAGCGTAGAAGCAGTTTGCCCTCCTTGTGCCCCCTCCTCTAGAGCATCTGCTGGCTGTGAACTGGGCTCAGAAAGGGGTGGGGGAGGGTCAGGTGATGAGGAGAGAAAAGCAGTGGTTTCTATTCATGTCATGCCGCCTTTCATTGGAGGAAGATGGATTTAACTCTGTCATTTCTTTATTCTGTCTTTGCTAACCTTTCAGGTCAGGTTGCAGGGGACCGTTGGAGAGACACCGTCACGTGACCCCCGGTACCAAATGGTCTTCCGGCAGTGGTTTTCAGTAAGGACCGGAGCAAAAGACGCTGCCATCTCTCTCAGAAATGCAGAAGACGACATACTACGACAACTCCCCGACGCTCTTCGGTGGCTACTCCACCTACCAGGTGCAGGGAGCAGCTGCAGCTGCTGCCAATGGCTTTGGGGGCTATGATGCCCCGGTGCCAGTGTCCCACCACCAAGCTCCCTTCCAGTCGCAGACCCATCTGGATGTGGATTCGTACCAACACTCCGCCTGCTCTCTGCAGTCACTGGGTAATAATAGTGGCCACCAGCAGCAGCAGCTAGCAAAGGCCAAGGAGCTGAATGGCAGCTGCATGCGGCCCAGTCTGCCACCCGAGCACCTCCCTGCCTCCCAGGTGTCCCCCCCACTGCCCCCCAAACCCAGCAATGGTAATGCCGCCGCTCAGCAACCGGGGGGCAGTGCTGGGTCTTCTACAGTCGCCAAATCAGGCCCTAATAAGTCCTCAAATTCCTCCTCCTCCACATCTTCCTCCACATCATCCAGCTCCTCTTCACTGCCGCCCAACCCGGCGCTGGCCAAGCAGATCTTCCCCTGGATGAAAGAGTGTCGCCAAACCACCAAGCAGAAAAACTGTTCGCCCAGCAACAACTCCAGCAACGGTGTGTTTTTAGGTCTTTATCTTTCTTCACACCCTGCAATTAAACACAATCTCCCTCATTCCTGCCATACATCACCTCTTCCTTCATATCCGTTACTCATCAGTTCATTTAGCTTCAGACTTTCCTCACTCATTAGCATCATTCTGGCTGCTGTCCTGTTCTCATCTCTTATCTCACCACTTCACTCTTTCTGCGCCCTGCCTATCAACACTTTTGCTCCTGGGCTGGATCTCTGCAGTATAGGAAGATTTTCTGGGCTGAATTTGGTTTCTTCAGGTCACTTCCTTTTTAAAACCCTAATTTCAGACAGAAATGATCACATGAAACTAGTCCTGGTTTACCTGCTGAGTCATATCAACCTATTCTCATTATGAGTGCGTATGAAATCGTACGAAAAGTTATGCACCGTAATTTCGTACGTTTTGGAAATTTTTTTCGTCGTATGCGCATGCGCATCTGACGCACCATTCACGAATATAGAATATAAATTACAATTAGCCCTAACCCTGACCCTAACCCTAACCCTAAGATATAAAACAGCAAGCAACGTAGTTAGAGACATGAATAAGTGATGATTGCACTGTTTTTCCCAGTTTTACGTCCGTCCGCAGATCTGCTTTTTTTTTCTGTCTGTCAGCGCATGCGCACTGATGTGGTTTTTTGAGGAAAAACGTCCAAAATGTATGAAATGTGCATAACTTTTCGTACGATTTCATACGCACTCATGATGAGAATATGTTGGTCCTATCTGTAGGGAAAAAAGGTCTTGTAAATATTACCTCAGATTTTCTATATTAAATTTACTGCAAATTGCCTTTACTTTAAAATAACACCTTATATTTAATGTACTACTTAGAATTCAATCAAAATAAAAGTGCAATTCATTAATCTTACCAAAAAGTATTAACAAAACAATTTAATCAAGTTCCTAACTTAACAGATGTAAATAAAATGTTATTGGATATAAATAAGGAGCAAAACTTTTAAACTTATACCTTGTCTGACATTGTTTGTCAGTACTTATGGTTTATTTGTTGGTGCAGGTTGTGGCGCTGTTTCCTTGCAGCAAAATGTTCTGGGTTTGATCCCTTGTCCAGGGTCATGGTAGCAACAGGACAAGAATTCACTAGAAAACCAGTAAACAAAAATTCTAAAAAAGTCATTTTACTTAAGTTTGTATTTTAAATCAACTCTTCTTAGTGAGTAAAGTACAAACAATTTCTGAGTGAAAAAAAAACTTCCTTGTTTCTTCCAAATTTCTTTCAGTGTGATGAATTCAGCGGCCAATTTATGCTCAAAATAAATTAAATCATCTTTATTTTTTCTACCAAATTTCCTTCTTTTAACCAAACAATTTGTTAAACATCCCCATTAAAAAGCTAACAGGTCAAATGTAGAACTATACAAAATAATAGAGATAAACGGGGATAGTTTTAGTAAATCCCAGCAGGAAATGTCTGTAAACTCTAAAGAAATTCAAACAGTTTTTATGTTTTTTTTTCTTATGTTTTATGAGACTAAACATCTTGGAGGTAATAGAAATACAAATTTAGTAGCCATCAACTTTCCAACACTCATGATGTCAAATCTACCTTAAATATAAACATGTAAAAACAAGCAGTAACCTCTGAGGGCGTTCATTCAACAATATGGGAATTTAGAAAATATACATACATGTGTTGTTTAATGTATGTCATCTAAGAAAAATGAAAAACTTTACATTTGATGGAATCTAATAGTTCAATAGTTTATGCAATAAAAAACATCTTTTTTGAAAGGTCTTTGCAAATAACACTTAAATGTTTTGTGTTTGTTTTTGTTTATTTTTATTGTTTATTTTTATACAGGGGATATTAATGAGAGTTTATAAAAATATGACATAAAACAATTGATTTAGAAGATCTTATCAAAGATGAAAATTTAAAATGACTTATGCAAACATAAGTTATGTCTGACAATGACCAACGAGCTAAACTAAAGCTTCACATTTATGTCATTCAATGAAAAAACTTGGTCCATTTAAGAATTATAATAAAATAAAAATGTTTTGGTTCTACTGAAACAATCGACTATATTGAATTTTAGCCCCAGAACTTGGTAAATTATTTTCAATAAACAGGAAATAGACTGATTGGATTAAATCAGCTGTTGTTCTTTAACCTTGGCAGGTTCAAGCCCGCCGTCTAAAACCATTGCAATGGTGAGCAGTAGCCTTAATGCGGCAGAACGAGGCTGCACATTTCTAGGCAACGCATGCATCTAGCAGACGAGACACAACAGTTTATAGTTTAATTTTTAAAATAAAAGATTTAGTGCATTTACATAAATGCAGATATTTTTAAGACATACAGGATCAAAAAGTCTTAGTCCACGCTTGTTTTCTTCACTTTCTTGCTCTAAACAGTACCCAAACAACACAATGAGTACAGCTTTACAATCAGATATGGCTTTAAAACCGAGATGCAGACATTTAAATAGTTGGTCGAATGGAAAAACTAATAATTGATGAGCTTGGAAAAGGAAAATATTCCTATAAAGAAAACAACACGAAAACATCAAACCACATAAATATAATGATAAACAAGAAAGTAACTACAATTAGCTTTATTTGTTGTTTGGCTATTTAGCTATTCTTACATTCCAAGTCATCGTTATTTTCAAGGATTTGGGTGTCCCAAATTAAAGCAGTAAGAATAGCTGAAAGAGCTAAATTAAATGATTTTCTAATCTTTTATATCACCACACATCAAAGAAAGTAGCACTGTCAAACTTAAAGGTGATAACACAAGTGTAACACACCCTAGCAACTGAGTGACTGCTCACGCTCGGTCGCTGGCATCCAGCATTAGCATTCAGCATTTGCAACATCCTGGCATCTAGGATTAGCATCCAGCATTAGCAACATCCTGGCATCCAGTATTAGCATTCAGCATTAGTCACATCATGGCATCCAGCATTAGCATCCTTTATTAGCAACATCCTGGCATCCAGCATTAGCATCCAGCATTAGCAACATCCTGGCATGTAGCATTACCATCCTTCATTAGCAACATCCTGGCATCTAGGATTAGCATCCAGCTTTAGCAACATCCTGGCATGTAGCATTACCATCATTAGCAACATCCTGGCATCTAGGATTAGCATCCAGCATTAGCATCCAGCAGTAGCAACATCCTGGCATGTAGCATTACCATCCTTCATTAGAAACATCCTGGCATCTAGGATTAGCATCCAGCATTAGCAAAAGCCTGGCACATAGCATTGGCATCCTTCATTAGCAACATGCTGGCATCTAGGATAGGCATCCAGCATTAGCAACATCCTGGCATGTAGCATTGGCATCCTTCTTTGGCAACATCCTGGCATCTAGCATTAGCATCCAGCATTAGCAACCTCCTGGCATTTAGCATTAGCATCCTTCATTAGCAACATCCTGGCATCCATCATTAGCATCCTTCATTAGCAACATCCTGGCATCCAGCATTAGCAACATCCCGGCATTCCAGCATTAGCATCCTTCATTAGCAATGTCCACGCATCCAGTATTAGCATTTAGCATTAGTAACATCCTGGCATCCATCATTAGCATCCAGCATTAGCAACATCCTGGCATCTAGGATTAGCATCCAGCATAACCAACATCCTGGCATGCAGCATTAGCATTCAGCATTAGTCACATCATGGCATCCAGCATTAGCATCCTTTATTAGCAACATCCTGGCATCCAGCATTAGCATCCAGCATTAGCAACATCCTGGCATGTAGCATTACCATCCTTCATTAGCAACATCCTGGCATCTAGGATTAGCATCCAGCTTTAGCAACATCCTGGCATGTAGCATTACCATCATTAGCAACATCCTGGCATCTAGGATTAGCATCCATTATTAGCATTAGCAACATCCTGGCATGTAGCATTACCATCCTTCATTAGAAACATCCTGGCATCTAGGATTAGCATCCAGCATTAGCAACAGCCTGGCACATAGCATTGGCATCCTTCATTAGCAACATGCTGGCATCTAGGATAGGCATCCAGCATTAGCAACATCCTGGCATCTAGGATTAGCATCCAGCTTTAGCAACATCCTGGCATGTAGCATTACCATCATTAGCAACATCCTGGCATCTAGGATTAGCATCCAGCATTAGCATCCAGCATTAGCAACATCCTGAAATGTAGCATTACCATCCTTCATTAGAAACATCCTGGCATCTAGGATTAGCATCCAGCATTAGCAACAGCCTGGCACATAGCATTGGCATCCTTCATTAGCAACATGCTGGCATCTAGGATAGGCATCCAGCATTAGCAACATCCTGGCATGTAGCATTGGCATCCTTCTTTGGCAACATCCTGGCATCTAGTATTAGCATCCAGCATTAGCAACCTCCTGGCATTTAGCATTAGCATCCTTCATTAGCAACATCCTGGCATCCATCATTAGCATCCTTCATTAGCAACATCCTGGCATCCAGCATTAGCAACATCCCGGCATTCCAGCATTAGCATCCTTCATTAGCAATGTCCACGCATCCATTATTAGCATCCAGCATTAGCAAATCCTGGCATCGAGGATTAGCATCCAGCATTGGCAACATCCTAGAATCGAGGTTAAGCATCCAGCATTAGCAACATCCTGGCATTTAGGATTAACATCCAGCATTAGCAACCTCCTGGCATGTAGCATTAGCATCCTTCATTAGCAATGTCCACGCATCCATTATCAGCATCCAGCATTAGCAACATCCTGGCATCTAGGATTAGCATCCAGCATTAGCAACATCCCGGCATTCCAGCATTAGCATCCTTCATTAGCAATGTCCACGTATCCATTATTAGCATCCAGCATTAGCAACATCCTGGCATCCAGCATTGGAATCCTCCATTGCCAACATCCTGGCATGCAGTATTAGCATCCTTCATTTGCAACATCCTGGCATCGTGGTTTAGCATCCAGCATTAGCAAAATCCTGGCATGCAGCATTAGCATCCTTCATTAGCAACATCCTGGCATCGTGGTTTAGCATCCAGCATTAGCAAAATCCTGGCATGCAGCATTAACATCCTTCATTAGCAACATCCTGGCATCTAGGATTAGCATCCAGCATTAGCAACATCCCGGCATTCCAGCATTAGCATCCTTCATTAGCAATGTCCACGTATCCATTATTAGCATCCAGCATTAGCAACATCCTGGCATCCAGCATTGGAATCCTCCATTGCCAACATCCTGGCATGCAGTATTAGCATCCTTCATTTGCAACATCCTGGCATCGTGGTTTAGCATCCAGCATTAGCAAAATCCTGGCATGCAGCATTAGCATCCTTCATTAGCAACATCCTGGCATCCAGCATTAGCATCCTTCATTAGCAACATCCTGGCATCCAGCATTAGCATCCTTCATTAGCAACATCCTGGCATCCAATGTCACTACCTGATCTGTACCATCAACTCATAAACCAGATATAAATCCAGGTGTTGTTTCAGAATGATAAATTAATATCATCAGTAGTATCATTACAAAGTACACATTTAACTTCCTGGACTTCAATATATTTTTTCTCTAACCAAACAGTCTAAAATAGATCTAAATTACATTTTCCCTCCCTTGATATAGTAACGGTTAAATTAAGTATTTCCTGAAAAATTAAAAGCGTTTAAATCCATTTCGTTTTATCCCTCATCTTTTCCCAATCTGTAAAGGAATTGAGATCCTATGCTACTTCTGGGAGCTAACATTTTCGGCTTTGAATTTAAACATAAATTTATTTTTTTTTAGTTTTAATTTTTCCTTTCTTGTTAACCTTATGGTATAAAGTGCGTAACCTAAAGAGAGAAACATCTACAATGCAGATAAAAATGGTTTAATCATATTTTGCCGGACTGCTCAGAGCATTTCCCATGATGATGTCAGACATGCCATTTAACAGAGAAAATGTCAAAAGCATCAAACTGTCTCAGAAAAGTCATAAAAAATGAGTCCCTTTTAGTCCCGTACCAACATATTTATGGCGATCTTGATGAATATCTGCTTGCACATGAGCCAGTGGTATGGATCAGATAGTGACATCCAGCACCTGGAATCCATTTTCCACGGGTCAGTATTAGCACGCATCTAAGGCTCTGTTCACACTGCAGCCTGAAGTGACCCAAATACGATTTTTTTTCCATATGCGACCTGGATCAGATCTTTTCATGGCAGTCTGAACAACCCAGATCTGATTTTTTCCAATGCGACCCAGGCCACTTGGCTATGTGGTACTGAATCCGATATGGGACCTGTGTCTGAATGGCTAGACCTGAACGTCATTAATACCCGACATAGGTCACTATTCTGCGTCTTGCTACGCAGAAGCGGCAAGAAAAACAACAACCATGGCAGATGATGATGCGCAGAGCAGTATTTATGTTTAACCATATTGAAAAGATTGAGTTTTTGTGGTTGGAAAAGACCGCTAGATGCGCACCGGAACTACCATCCATGTTTACTTCCGTAAACGTATAGCGTGACGTCATTGCGTCCTCTACTGCGCATACGGGACACTTGCGTTGTATGAATGCAGTTCACACAGGAAACCACATACAGGTCGCATATATTTGGTATAATCAATGTGAACGGCAACGCAAAAACAATCTGATTTCACAAAAAACCAGAGTTGAGCATCAAGGCCTACAGTGTGAACGTAGCCTAACTTAGCTGTCATTTTCACACCCAACTCGTCTAATTTTGATACTCGGTCAGGGCCTGCAGGGTGTTTGACAGGGTTGGAGCAGGAACTTGGAAAATTACACATGAACTGAAACCTGTAAAGCTAACGCTAACCCATCCCTTACCCTAAAACATAAACCAGGGTTCCTCAGGTCAGGTCCTCAAGATTGGGTTGGCTGCACCTTTTCCATGTGTCTCTGCTTTAAAACACCTGAGTCCAATGATCAGCTCATTAGCAGCACTTTGGAGAACTTGGCTGTATGCTGAGGAGGTAATTAAGCCATTTCATTCAGATGCAGAAGCAGCAACTTATCTAAATGATTTTAAGGACCAGAAAGGAGGAACACTGATCTTAACCTGAAGAAACACTAGTATACATGTTACCATAAAGTCCTAAAGTTACAAACAGAAACTTTGTCGGCTAAAATATTCTTCACAGATTATTGGACACAGTGTCCACAGCTGCTTAGGCACCCTGCACAATAATATATGACGAGGTTGGTACCCCCATCTCGCAAAGTTTCTGGTGTTTGACTGGTGTTTTTACTCTAATAAAAAACGACGGTGAAGATTAATGAAGCTGATTCATTTAAACTAAAATTCTCCATTATGTTAAAATATAATTTAAAGTCAAACTGAGGCAGTTAGCCTCTGGACTTTAGGCTGAAGGACTTAAATCCAAATCTGTGTATTCTAGTAGAAAGAAAATTGAGGCAGAAAAAGACTGACAAGAAAGCAACAAACTGGAGTTATCTGAAAGACATGCTGGATTATTTTATTGTTTATATTTTTTGATGAGTCCACTGAAGTAAAGCAGTTCCTCATGCTGCAGCTGTTGTTGCTGTGGGGGTTTGTCTCTCTAACCAAGATGCAATTTAGGTGTTCTCGGCCAGCACTGGGGCCTTCATCTTTTAATAACTGCCACTGTTATGAAGTGTTGACAACTAATATCAAGGCGTAATTCAGGCCGCCTGCCCAGACCCCCCTCTGCTTTATTAAGACTCTGAATGTTTCCAATTTCCTCTGGCATGCAGTCTAGATTTATTCTATTATCTTTACATTTACCGCTCATAACTTTTATTTGATTATCACATTTAATGCTACATAGAACCGGCTTCCTTTTCGCTCCCCTGGCTGCTGAACTGCATATAGCTGTTTTATTTTCAGAGCGTTAATGAACTGGCTGTTTATTTTATGTGATTCTTGTGACTCTCATCAGACCGGCTGGTTGATGTTAATGTGTTTTTCCCTCCGCAGCAACAGGGGGCGCTGAGAGCGGCAGCAGTGGGGAGAAGAGTCCGAGTGGAGGTTTGTCGGCGTCGTCCAAGCGCGCTCGTACGGCGTACACCAGCGCTCAGCTGGTGGAGCTGGAGAAGGAGTTCCACTTCAACAGGTACCTTTGCCGGCCGCGGCGCGTGGAAATGGCCAACCTGCTGAATCTGTCCGAACGCCAGATTAAGATCTGGTTCCAGAACCGAAGAATGAAGTACAAAAAAGACCAGAAGTCCAAGGGCTTGAGCTCCAGCTCTGGAGGACCGTCCCCCACAGGTTCCCCTCCTCTGACCATGCAGTCCTCTGCCAGCTTCCTGAACTCAATGCATCCAATGGGAGGAGGAGGAGGGGGCCCTACCTATGAGACCCCTTCTCCACCTTCATTTGGAAAGCTCCACCAGGGGGTGTCTTATTCTATGTCCACTGCCTATTCTAATGTTCCAATGAAGGGCTGCCCTCCTCAGAAATACGGTGCCGCTGATCCAGACTACGGTGACCCCCACCACAGCCTAGTGCAGACCAACGCTGCCGGCTATGGGACACCAACTAACATGCAGGCCAGTCCGGTCTACGTTGGGGGCGGCAGCTATGTGGAGCCCGGGCCCTCCATGTATGGCCTAAACCACCTCGGCCCTACGCCGCCTCACCACCAAACCATAGACTACAACGGCGCGGGGCCGATGTCAACTACCAACCAGCACCTCGTGGGTGGAGGGGGCCCCCAGGGTCCCTGTGAGCCACCCACACATCCTACTTACACCGAGCTGTCAGCACACCACACCTCGACTCAGGGCAGAATCCAGGAAGCACCCAAGCTCACTCACCTGTAGCAGGTTTAGAGCAAAACGAAAATGTAGAAATGAGAGAATATAGCAGAAAAAAAACAAACATAACATGACCTGATTCACTGAGAGATGAACCAAATGTAGGGACGACGCCGCTGCAACGGGGCGAAGCGGGACAGATGGGAGCCTTCCAGTGGTTTGTGAGATGCCGTGTGCCACGTTATGTGAAACATCACTGCGTTCACAAGAGCAGCATCAAATATATCCTCACTGCTTTAGGAGAGCCGTCAGTTTCCTTTTAGGAACTGATTACTGTAGTGGTCTAAGAAATCAGTGGTTCGTGCTTCTGCTGAACTGGCACTAAAGCAAACCTTTAATGTGTTTAATATTTTGTCTTTTGCTATTATGTATGGCTTCATATATCAGTATTACCTATTTTTGTATCATTTCCCCACATTTAGAGCTCTTTAGACAAATTAGGAGTAAGCAGTGTTAATGAACGCCTTACATAAAGAGCGATCCTTGATATCTAAAGAAATATTGCATATTTAACCATCCATGGGTTTGCAATAGTTGCGTTAGTAGATCTTTGTAGGCGTGGAGCAATTTGCAACAATATTAGAGCACGCATGGAGTAAAACAGAATGCCTATAATGACCCTTTAAGAAATACTGCATGGATTCAAACGGCCCTCTGATGGTAAAATCTCCCCCTAAGACACACATATACGTGCAGCTCTCTTGCCTGGTAGATGAAATAGTTGAGAATTTAATGGGCTGTTAATGAGGTGGTTAGATTTATTATGCCGACTTCTCTCCCCTGCAGGCAACACATGTTGTTGTCAGCAGAGCTGAGCTATGTGTTGGGAGTGTGGAAGAAATATATGGCTCAAGCTGGCAGCGCAGGTCTTCCTCTGAGCCTCATGTTTTATCAAGCACATCAAAAACCACTGGACGGTTCTCTGGTCGCTGTCTTTGTTTTCTCCCTGAAGAACCCATCTCTGTCTGTCTAGACCCAATCATTACTAACCCAATCTTACCCCCGCCAGCACGCACACACACGATACGCACGCGTACACAACCGTCCGTCCCGTCACTGTAACAGGGTATATAAGATTAGAGCTGAAAGGCTGAGCTGGCTCCAAAGGGCCCTAAACTACCTGATGACACGGTCATCTCTGCAGACACACACAGCAACACTAAGCTAACTTCCTCCCGCTGGCATACGTCCACAAACAGCCTTCCAGCTGATGACACCTTCAGACAAACACAACGGGGCACAAAGTCTGCTGTTTTAGTGTCCTTATTTTAGCACATCATTGAGAAGACAGGGTAAATAATAAGAGTGGAGAGGACTATTTATTTATGTTTGAAAAAGTCACTGACATCACCGACCTCACCCACAAACTCCCACCCCATCACACTCTGGTCGATGCCGATGTGTGGAAGACCCCATTTTTTTAATTTTGTTTTCTTTCCCAAATGTCTTGACTTTTAACGTGGAAACAGGGTATATATTTGAACAAAAAAATGCATGTCCCAGATATCTGAGCATTTGTGTTAAAGGGATTTTTAAAACAGCGGGATTTATCGTCCACTTTTTGGAACGTCAAACACTATTAGGGAGATAAAGTGGGGCCATAAAATTTGTTGAAAAAACTTTTTTCTTTTAGCTGAAAATTAAAAATGTGTAATTTTAAGTTATTTGAAGCTATAAAAAAAGTTAGAAAAACAACTAAGAAACTGAAAAGTATATTTTAAAACTGGAAAAAAGGTTTCAAACCAAAAAAAAGGAAAAAAAAATATTTGGGGAAAATATGGAAAGTAAAGAAATTTAAATTTGAAAAGAAAAAAAAATGAAATTGAGAGCAAATGTTTCAAACTACTTTTCAGATGCAAATATGTTTGTTCATTTGTTCCAAACTGCTGCCTCCTCGGTGTGGGGGCGGGGCTTAGATGACATGGCTGTGAAATGATTACTGAAAGCTCAGGTGACAAAAAAAGTCCAGCTGCTACATTCACCTTGGGAAACTATCTTTGAAGTGCTGATATCCTACATTTATAGGATTGTTTTTTAAAGATGACATTTTTCTCGGCTTATGCTGCTGGAATCAGTCTGACTCCGCTTTACTTTAAGAGGGTGAAATATGCCTAAACCTTTTTTTCATTAAAAAAATGTTTTCGGTTTCAAATCATCTAACTGACAAAAATAAAATCCTATGTTCCAATTTTTTTTCAGTTTAAAAATTTTTCTGATTTATGGCACCAATTTAGCTCCATAGTATGGCGTTTCATCGATAATAAAGCATTAAACCCCTAGAGTTGTTTTTAAAAGCTCAAGTTTTACACAAATGCTGTTTTAGAACTGGGCATCATTGTTGCACTTAGAGTTTACATTTTGATGGCTGATGGTTAAAAAAAAAAATCAGATCTTATTTTGAAGACGGAAGGCCGTCCAATCAAAGCGTCTTTCGCTGAGGTGTGTTCAAGTGAACATTCACGTATAAATATTTATTTGTTATAGCCAGTTTAAAAAGATTTTCTGTTTTGTAATAATATTATTTATCTTTTGTGTATTTATATTGAGGAAAAAAAATCCTGTACTTTTTTAGTATTTACCTGTAATAAAAAAAAACAACAATATTGTGTTTCCTCTTGTCTATTGTACTAAAGCTACATTCTTTCTTTTTTTTTTTTTTGTATTTTAGAAGAAAATAGGTAGTTTATTTTGTTTCTAAGACCATTTTTATGTTATTATGATCCTTGTACATAAATGTCTTGGCTTGTGCAGGGAAAAGGGAAAAGTGTTGGGTTTGGAAATCCACCCATAGTCTGAAAATAGAAACAAACTGTTAGCAGGAGAGACAAAAAAGTCCTTTTTGGGGAAACATTTTTCTGTCCTTTGTAGTTATTTTTTTTCCACTGTTGATAAAGTTGTCTGTCAAGCAATTCTTTAATAAAATTTTATGTTACTCAGAGCAGTAATTATTTCTTTTAAGATAGATTTGATGCTTAACCACTGACATCGTCAAGGCAAGATACTGAGACTTTGTTTTGCATGGCAGATGAAGCAGTGACATGAAATGTTACAAAAATTAGCTTTTTAAAAGAACAAAATATGCATCAGAGGGAACCAACTTTCAGTGTTTTTTATCTGCTGTATGAAAAGTGAAAAAAAGTTTAGATTTACTTCTTTATTGCTTCAAAACAACTAAAGTTATAATTTAAAAGACTTGGTAAATTTAGCAGATGATAGCAGCAGTTTTGTGGAGTTTGTTTCGCCCGCTGCCTGCAGATAGAAGTGTTTCTTTTTGTGCAGATGTGTAGGATATGTCTCCCCTCTCTTTCACCCACCAAAAAAAAAAAAAAGCCTCCAGGCCCGCGCCTTGTTCAGTTCACGTGACTTTTACTTAAATATCTTTGGCCCACTTTTTTTTTCTCCCTGTCACGTGCTCAGAAGCCTGAGAGCGCCATTAAAACTTCGGACGTAAATCAAGATCCCATAAATAATGGCTATGCTTCCCTTTACATCTCCTCTGGACTAACAGACAATAAAAACACCAATAAGCAGAGATTGGCTTTAATTTATTGCCTCGTAAAAGCAGATGGAGAGCCCATGTCTCTCCTCAGCACTGCTGGGAACAGAGGGGCTGGAAGGGTGAGGCGCTTTAAGCGGCTTGCAATGCGCCCTGGATGCTCCTTATATATAATAAACGCGCTTTACTAAACCCAACTTTTCTATAATGGACTGAACGATTTGTTTAATTAAACATCTTACTATGATCATCAGTTTGACTTCATCATAGGGAAGCAAAAAGAGTAAAACTTTCTGTCAGAATATAGCTTTTCTTCTTCTTCTTGAGATTTGCTCAAATAGTTCCTGACACTAAGACTGTGCGCAGTACTTTGGCATTAGCTTTACCAGACGATCACCACTTTGATGAATTCAGTTCATTGTATTTATAAAGCGCCAAAGAACAAGATGCGTCACAAGGGACTTTACAGATCAAACCATGCAAACAGATTGGTTAAAATTTCTGAATGCATCCAGTCATGGAGTGCAACATTTACTCCATGATGTGCACATGGAGACGGTAGCAGCATTGGGTCATTTAAGTTCCTTCATACTGAGCATGCATCTTTAAATACATGAGTAGCTTTAAAGCATATAGGCTATAAATATTAAATTAATAAGTTACCAAACAAAGAGAGAATATTTTCAAATGTAAATAAACAATGTAGAATTTAAAATGCCTTTTCTCAGTAGTGTCAGCCATCTCGCCTCCGTTACCAGCTCCTCTAATTTATTTTTTTATTTTTAATTCCTTTTAGTCAAAGGAGGAAATAACTAAAGACGTTTGCAGATGAAGCGTTTCTCTGCGCTGCTGGGTCCAGAGTGAGTTGGCTTCTGCTCGCCGTGCGTCCTCGCATCCCGCCTGTTCTTCCCACTCACTGCGCGTCCTTTCTGCTCCACTCAAAGCCCCCCACTCCCACACACATTGCTGCATATGCGACTTGTTTAGGCGAAGAAACTTGGGGGGGCTAAACGAAACAAACAGAAAGGAAAGCGAAGGAGCTGCTTTATGCGCTTTAACTGCTGGTAAAATAATAACATCAAGAATAAATATATATTAAAAAAATGTAAAAAACAGATGAAGCCCTGGAGCAGAGAGGGGAAGGCAGCAGGGCTGGAAGTTGTCTCCTGATTTAGGAAGAGAGGGACTGCTGTCAGCCTCTCTCAAGGAGAGAAAGATTGATCACCGCTTTTTTTTTTTTCTCCTCTCCACTCGGGGCCCTTCTGACCCTCCCCGAAATATCCTCTGCTCGCAGCTCTCCAGTTAATCTTTATAAATATCTACATGTACATCCCGTAGAGTCCGAGGGCAGCTCAGCACGATCTCACTTACAGTTAGCTTTATATTAATAGCTGAGGGCCTCTTATTATGTTTTATAACAGGGGCCCGCTCTTTATTTTCTGGCTACCGGAGCGACCCCTCTCTGAACTCGATTTGTGCGCGTGAACACCCCGCGCACACAAACTAAACACGAAGGTGAGAGAGGATCCACGGGGTTTTGGAGCCTGAAAAAGATGGAATTACTCACTCCCATCTCTTTGTTGTGGTTTATTTATGATGAATATTTGAATAATCGTGTTCCATGTAGGATAAAATGGACACTTACGCATGAAGTTGCTTCTCTGCGTCTATTCAGATCTAAAAGTGTCTGCTCTGAAGCCTGAAGTGAATTCACACCGGGGAAACATCTGTAAGCTGCTGCATCATCTGAACACGCTCGGATCTTTATTTTTCCTCCTGTGTCCTATTGCTTGCAGCCATTACATCACCCAGAAGCCTACAGAAAATGTGCGGCTCTATTGTTAGAGGCTCCCACCGTCCAGGATGTGCAGAGCTGCCGCCCACGCAGCGCACATGGCAACCGGCCCCATTGCTTCTTTTTTTTTTTTTTTTTTCTATTTCACCCCTGAAAGGACAGAACAATGGCAGATAGGCTCCATTTGCCTCTGCTTTCGGAGAAAAATAATAATAATGCTTCCCACAGACATCACAGCCGCTAGGCCCGGACCACCGATTGGCTGTTTCGGGTCACGTGACCAGGAATTGGCTGCAATTTCATCCCATAGTTGTTCAGTTTAGCCTACCCAGGTCCCCATACGCTACTATTATAACCAATATACACAATTATGATATAGCCACCGCATTTACGGGACTGCGGTCAGAAGCCCGTGTTCTGCTGGGTGATTTTTATATTACTTGTTTTTCTAATCAGCCATGCTATGTGGTGTGCGTGTGCACGCGTGCATGTAGGCCTATGAGGCTTTTATTGTTATTGTTGTTTTATTTCGGGAAAGGCATTATTCTGGGCTCTCGTCGTGTAGGGAGGGCGCTAGTCTGAGGAAGCTATGAATTTTGAATTTGAGAGGGAGATCGGGTTTATAAACAGCCAGCCGTCCCTAGCAGAGTGCTTGACGTCCTTCCCCGCCGTCCTGGAGTCATTTCAAACTTCATCAATCAAGGAGTCGACAGTAATTCCGCCTCCCTTCGAGCACACCATTCCCAGCTTGAGCCCTTGCACAGCCACCCAGCCGAAACCAGCTTCTGGGAGCCAGCAAAGCCGGAGAAGCTCTGCTGCAAATGACCAGCAGACGCATCAGCGAGCCGTCCAGCAGCCATGCCCGCCTGCCCAGGCCCCTGCACCGGCCACCCCGGTCGGTCCGCTGGCCCACGAGTTTCCCTGGATGAAAGAAAAGAAGTCATCCAAGAAATGTCCCAAGCCTGGAGGCAGCTCGAGCGGGGGCGGATCCATCATCACGCCGGCATCTTCCTACCCCTCGCCAAACGCCTCTGGGTATCCATCGGCGGGTATCGAGTCACCCACAGGTCGGTATACAGGAGCGGATGGATCAGTGGTGCAAGGGTGTGACTGTCGTGCTGAGAATTTCTGTTTCATCTCCGAATATCCCTCACCAATTTTAATCCATGCATGGCTGTCATTGTCTTTTTCTTTACCCTCAGTGCATGTGCATGCAAGTGCGCGCGTGCATGTTGTTAAATGCTTGGAGTGCGCATAAAGAGGGAAGCCATATCTGGACGTCTGCATTATGCTGCAATGCTTTGCATTGGGGAACTTAATCCATTCAGTGTAAATGTTCCTCTGGTGGCTCATCAAATGTCCACCAGCTGCAGATCCAACCTGCTGAGGTGAAGCTCTAACAGAGAGAAACGTCTGCTTCATATGATCAAGGATATGAAAGCTTTTCAATGATATATAGAGATTTATTTTTTCCGGTTAATGGATGCTGCGATTTTGGATCAGTGTGGTGTTGTAGCATCCAGTAAAAATGGGCGCCATATTGGATGGAGTTAGGGAGGGAAAAAATTAAGGCGGTGGAATGAGAATGGTGGGGTGGGGGTTGGGAAACACTTAATACTGCGGCCACACAGGAAACCCTCAGCGAACAATCTTTCCAATTTTAGACATCCACTGAAATCAAGGCAATTCATGTCCTTTTGGCTTAAAACAAGAAAAGCAAAAAATATATATTCTATTGCTAAACTGTTGAATTCTTTCTGTCTTCAAATATAAAGTCTATATGGACAAAATTATTAGGATTTAAAAAATATAAACATACATTTATTACACACCTTTGTTTAATATTACATTCACAGTTTAAATTCTATTATGTTTTCCTTTTTTATCCCATTCAAATTAGATGACTGCATAAGAATAACGCGTCTGTAATTGAATCAACATTTGAACACACACACACACACACACACACACACACACACACACACATATATATATATATATATATATATATATATATATATATATTTTTTTTTTTTTTTTTTTTTTTTTTTTTCTGTGTTTTACTTTTTCTCCTGCTTCCCTGCAGACTCAAGCCAGATCGGCGGGCTGGACGCAGGGGGAGCCGGCTCTCGCCGGCTGCGCACCGCCTACACCAACACTCAGCTTCTGGAGCTGGAAAAGGAGTTCCACTTCAACAAGTACTTATGTCGACCGAGGAGGGTTGAGATCGCCGCACTGTTAGATCTCACCGAGCGGCAGGTCAAAGTTTGGTTTCAGAATCGGAGGATGAAACACAAGCGGCAGACCACGCACCACCGGGATGGCAGCGGGGGAAGTCCGTGTTCCAGTGGGTTCGAGCCGCTCGAAGGCTCCGATGCATCGTCTCCGTACTCCAGTCAGCCGCTGGAAGCATCTGGCACCGGGGACGGCACAATAGAGGAGCAGGGGGCTGGTAATGCGACATCGAGCGCTGTTTCCAGCGCCTATAGTGCCACAGACAGCGGGGACAATGCGCTCCCCACGCAGGAAGACACGGGCAGTGGGAGCCTTCTGCAGCCGAGGGCTGCTGGCTCAACGGATTCCTGCTCCAAGGGTGACAGCGGTGGTGTGACGCACCGCAGCGGGGCTGGGAACGCACCGGGGCCCGGTGTGTCTTTTTTGGACCACCGGGAATCCTCCATCGCTCCTTCTGACTCTCTCACATCTCCCTCCTCATCCTCATCCACCGCGCTGACCGACCTGACGCTCTTCACCGAGGACACCTGCTTGTCCCCCAGCCTGCAAAGCTCCCTGGACAGCCCGGTGGATTTCTCCGAAGAGGATTTTGACTTGTTCACAAGCACACTGTGCACTATAGATTTACAACACCTCAACTTTTGAAGGTACTAACAAAGAGGGTAAAAATAAAACACCAGAACAATCAGCAGGAAAAAAAATAAACTCTATAAGGACTGTTGTTAAAAAAACTTCTCGGCAACATTCCCGAAAGGTAGATTAATTAAAATGTTTTTTTTGTTTTTATTTATGTCTGTAATTGACGTTCAAAAAACGCAGTGAGTTAATTTAATTTTGCTCTATTTATTTTTTTTATCGCAAACATGTAAAGAAAATAGTGCGTTTCTTTGTGTTGGCCAGATTATTTAAATTTTTTTTCCCTTTAACCATTTTTTTCGGATTTCGGCTGTTATTATTTTCCTCTTTTTTTTGTAAAACGAGTTTTCTCCTAATTGGTGAGCTGGTTGGTTTAAACTGGTCTTTCAGGGGTTCAGCTACGTGGATCCTTAAAAAAACAAAAAACAAAAAAAAAACTCAGGAACTGGTCACAGCAGGACTGCTTTGGAAGAAAAAACTAAACTGAGGAATTATGTGTCGTCTTTCAGAGCGACTAAAACCTGCTGTAAAGTCGAGATGTGACCTTAGTTTATTTATTAAGATTCTTTAATAGTGAAAATCAAAATTATTTATTGTACAAATATTTTCATAGTGGGATAATAATAAAGAATACAAATATAAACTTTGACAATGTGCTCCATGATTTTCTTTATAACGTGTTTGGAATTTACATTTTATTTTATATTTATATTTCAGTATCAACACATTAATAATTCAGTTTTATACAGAAGCTTTTTTTCTTTATGTTAGACTAAATTATATATTTATTCTTTCAGGCGGCCTGTTGTTGAGGCCCGTTAAAATAAAAATAGGTGGAGTTTATATTTAATTGTTTTCTAATATATAGCCTACCAGACTTAACCAAATTCCATTTTTTTATTATTTTAGTTATAATTATTATTTTCTGTTGTAAATTAGTAAACAACTGAATCTCATTTGCTTTTTTTTATATATAAAACACACAAAAATATTCAGTGTAATTAAATATTGGGCCCTGCCAGATTTCTGGTAAACTTTGCAAGCTTTGACGTTTGCACCCCCACACACCCCAACCAGTAAAATTCACCACATCCAGCTCTGCAGCAGCAGCAGGGGGATTAAACTCATCGCAGCTCCTCGCTAATAAGTTCATTTGTGATCCTTTATTTCCTGATTTCTGCCGCTTTCTGCTGCTTTTCATTGGGGAGCTGCTGTTAGCATGTAGCTTTAGCTCCTTGCTCATTGCATGTCTGTGGAAATGATGCTAACTAGCCGCTGCCCCTTTCTGCTCAGTCAAAATGGCGCTGAAAACAAAGAAGCCTGTGAACAATGAGCAGTGGCAGCCATTACAGGAGGACTGGCCTCTGCTGACAGCCTGCTCTGCTTTTTCACATCATACCCATTACATTTAAAACTGTAAAATATAAACACAACATGGTAAATAATTGGCACTGGAATTTCAATCTTTTTTTCAACTCATCTGATTTTGAAAGGATTGAAAATAGAAATGATAAATGAACTGAAAAACATTTTAGAGAACCATCAAACCTCATAGTGAATTTAGAGACCGACAATAATCAATTTTTACAGATGAATTTGGTCCATGAAGATAAAATCTGATTTTTTTTCTGCAACTCTTCTTTCTCCAAACATGAAAATGGATGACCTGGACTCAAACAATTGTTTTGCTTTGTATTTCTCAAGGCTAACAAATCAGGTTAACAATCATAAGCATGACTTGGTCTTTGTAAATAAATAACTGATATATTTAGGACAGTTAATTTATACATTAAAGAATAAAGCTTTGTATTTGGAAAACGCATCCAATTAGATAACATAATTCTATATCTAATCTTTTAATCAGTAACTGTTGCAGAGTAGTCGGCCCCAAACCCTTCTCACCTGAAAACATGACATTACTTGGTAAACAATAATGAATTTATCCTAAAGTCATTGTTTGTGTTTGTGGGAAATAGATTTTTCTGATACCAGCTGAAGCTTTTGTTTTGTTTATATTTAATGACCAATGACTATTTTAACCTGGTTTAACAGTAAAAGGTAATACCTCTGCTCTAACAAAGGTCACAATAGTGTTGAAGTCCTATTTTAACATTTCTATTTATATATGAATTAATAACATATATTAATATTCTGATATATATGCTAAAAACATACTTTGCCTCAAAATATTGATGACTTTTAGATGTGAGAATAATTTTATAGTTGAAGAACATCCCTACATTTCTAAGGATTTTCTTTAGATGTTATAAATTGCAACTTTTGTTTTAATTAAGAGATGTTATAATAATAATAACTACAGAAGCCTTGTCAGAAAGTAGTTTTAGAAGTAATTTCTAAAACCTGCAAACTGTTTGCCCATTTGTGGAACTGATACAGCAAAAACCATCCCATAATAAGTAAAAATTTCTTAGGTAAATAAGATTATTTTAATTTTTACTCTTAAAATAAGACAATTAAATTGTTTTTCTTACTGTAAATGAAAATTGTCTTGCTCCATAGGCAAAGTGTCTCACTTACCTCCTCAGTAAAAAAAAAAAATCACTAATTTTAAGAAAAAAACGACTTAAAAATAAATTTTCATAAGTGCACACCAGCAAAATATTTAATTTCTAGTGAAAATGTAACAAGAAATGGATTAAATAAAGTAAAAAAAAAAAATAAAAAAATCCTAAATATAAGAGACTAAATGACAGAAAGTATTTTTCACACTTGTTACAGTTCATCTCCCTGCTCCTTGTAGACAAAAAGATTAGAGTGAAGTAGATCTCTATGCTTGCAGACATATCTCACCTGCTGAGTGCCAGTGTTCAGTGATTGTGGGTGTGTGTGTGTGTGTGTTCCAATAATCTCTCTCTCCTTGCTGTCACCACCTGTCGGCTTGCTGCCATGCCATAATATGTGGATTGTTCTTTTATCTCTTGCATCAGCATCATTGTTTTGATTTCAATCCGTGTGTGTTTGTGTCTGTGTGAGATTGCATACAGTAACTCAGGCATGATAGATCACCCACTTAGCAGCAGTGCTGAAAAACGTGAGGGGTGGATTTTATCTTCCTGGGTGTCAGAAGGAAACTCTCTACCTTAGGCATTAACTGGTGGCACTGATGCAGCGCCCCCTGGCTTCGGACACACGTCACAGACTGGGACTCGCTCTGAAGAGTTTCTGTCTCATCCAGGAAGTTTAAAGCAAATAAAACCAATGAAAACATAACGACAGCCAAAAAAAATATTTTGATTGATTTATTTTCCTAATTTTTGTACAGCTGTCAGTCACAGAACATCCATCCTGGTTTCTCAGGTGTTCATAAACAAAACAAACAGCTTTAAATTCTGTAATTGTAATGTATTTTTTACCTTCTAGGTATCTGGGTTGTTCTTATAGCCAGAGGTGTCAAAATTGTACTTTATGAACTTAAGCTTTTTATTCAAATAAAAGTGTAAAGGTACCATAAAAAAAAAAAAAAAAAAAAAAAAAAAAAAGATAAAAGTAATGCAGGAAAAAAATGTTAAGGCCAGAACCTCTTCCCCATTAAAGGAACATTTTTTCTACAGTTCTGGATGATAACTTCCTCAGAATTAATTTTCTTAGTTTTCTAACTAATGGTAACAGCGTCACATTTAACTTTGCATCATCTGGAAAAACTATTTATTTTGGTTTGTGGTGAGAAACAAGTTAGGGCAGCACCGAGTCCAACCGCAAAGAAATTAATTATCTGGATAAAACAAGTTATTATGATGTTTTCTTTATTTATTTTTAATACCAACAGGCCATAATGAAAGAAATAATTGCAAAAAAGAAATAAATAAATGTAAGGAGTAGAAAGTAAAAAGTTGTCTACAAAATAATTGCTCCAGTAAAGTATAGATAGTCAACATTTCTATTGAAGTATGATATGTGATTTGGGACAGAATACAGAATACATTTATTACTCAGAATACAGCAATCATTTATAGACAATAAACACATTTAAATTTAAAGCAACACTGAGTTACGTTTGAACCAAATGTTAGCTCAATTTCAATTCATATTAAATTGTTTTTAAGGTCAATATTCATCTCATGCTGTGTATAGATGCTCCATGCTCTCTTTGAAAGTCTTCTCAGTAATTTTGAGGGTTGGATCCGTCTCTGAATGGGTCATGTGACACAGGGCGCCGCTTGCAGTCAGTCTGAGCTAACCAGAGCTAACTAAGCTAACAGCTGTTAGCTCTGACCCTCAGCTGTTCAGACATACAGGTGCTGGTCATAAAATTAGAATATCATGAAAAAGTAGATTGATTTCAGTAATTCCATTTAAAAAGTGAAACTTGTATATTATATTCATACATTACATACAAACTCATATATTTCAGATGTTTATTTTGTTTAATTTTGATGATTACAAATGACAACAAATGAAAATCTCAAATTCATCATATCAGAAAATTAGAATATTGTGAAAAGGTTCAAAATTGATGGCCCCTGGTGCCACACTCTAATCAGCTAATTAACTCAAACCACCTGCAAAAGCCTTTAAATGGTCTTTCAGTCTAGTTCTATAGGCTACACAATCATGGGGAAGACTGCTGACTTGACAGTTGTCCAAAAGACGACCATCGACACCTTGCACAAGGAGGGCAAGACACAAAAGGTCATCGCTAAAGAGGCTGGCTGTTCACAGAGCTCAGTGTCCAAGCACATTAATAGAGAGGCGAAGGGAAGGAAAAGATGTGGTCGAAAAAAGTGTACAAGCAAGAGAGATAACCGAACCCTGGAGAGGATTGTGAAACAAAACCCCTTCAAAAATGTGGGGGAGATTCACAAAGAGTGGACTGCAGCTGGAGTGAGTGCTTCAAGAACCACCACACACAGACGTATGAAAGACATGGGTTTCTGCTGTCGCATTCCTTGTGTCAAGCCACTCTTGAACCACAGACAGCGTCAGAAGCGTCTTGCCTGGGCTAAAGAGAAACAGGACTGGACTGCTGGTGAGTGGTCCAAAGTCATGTTCTCTGATGAAAGTAAATTTTGCATTTCCTTTGGAAATCAAGGTCCCAGAGTCTGGA